GATTCATGGCTGTGCCCAAGAATCACACATGTTTCTCTGAGTTCCATGAGCCACTGGAGCAGATTATCCAAACCTGAAGAGGAGGTTGTGGGGACTTCCAACTCATGGCAGGTGGGGACAGAACCTTCAGGGGGTCAGCCAGGGGAGGGGACCCGCAGGGTTTGCCCGGGAGCTCAGCACAGGGGGAGTGTTCCTGGCTCCAACATGCTGACTGTGGGGCTGCATGGGTCACAGGGTCACCTACCCTAACCCTAACCCCTAACCCAACCCTAACTCTAATCAAACATCATGCTCAATTTAGAGGACTGACAGCTCTACTCTGAAATCACAAACAAGTCCATCATGCTGGCTTTCACTCATTGCTCAGTATCGTAGTGCAAGTTCTACCCAGAATGATAAGGCAAGAAATCCACATGTGAAAGAAAACAGTAGAACTACGTCTATTCAGAGACCAGAGATGACATCATCTTATATAGAGAGCTTCCTAAACAATCAACAAAAAATGATTACAGCCAGTTAATATCAACACACAAAAATCTCTCTTATTTGTATACATTAGCCATGAATCATCCAAAAAATAATTTAAGAAAACAATTCCAATTTAGGGAACATTAACATTGACAAAATACTCAGGAATAGATGTAATCAAGGTGCAAGGCTTGTACACTGAAAATTACAAAACATTGCTGAAAGAAAGGGAAACCTAAATAAATCTGAGGACCCCATGGTGATGAAAAGACATACTATTGATAAGATGGCAATAGTACACAATGCAATGTGGAAATTCATATCACTGTACCCTTTGTATATATACAAAGGTTGGCATGAGTGCGGCCAGGTGGAAGGCACTACTGGGGTGTGGAGATCGATGACACATTCTTCTGGACAGCAATCTGTCCGCACTTGGTATGAGTAAGCACACAAATCCCATGGCATGACACTCCAGCCCCAGGTCAGTTTGAGGACTGTAGGAGGGTAGCTGGGAGGGAGCTCATTGCAGCTTTGTGTGTGGGAGTTAGAAGCACCTTCTGGCCCATCATGGGGGTGATGATGTAATGAACAGGGATCAATACTAAAGCTTTCCTAAGCAAGGGGTGCAAGCACCAGATCTAGAGCTGGATAATATGTACATAAATGAAAAGCACGTATACACAAACCTCACTGCATGACATACAAGGGTACATGCATAACCAAAAAGGCATTAACTCAGGCGTCCAAGAGGCCTGGGGGGACATTAGAAAGGGTAGGAAATGGAGGGGAAAATAAAATAAAAACCAGGCGGGAGGATGGCATGTTCAAAGAATTGTGAAAGGGAAAGAGATTTTACAGTTTTTACATCCACAGTTCAAGCTTTTCCTGACAGAATCGGAAGATCCAACAACACTGGGTCCGGGTGCCATGCAGCCGCAGTCCACTGTCCCATGGGGCCACATCTGCTCTCCAGTCTAGCTGTGCCACCCACAGCCTCCCTCATTCCACACCACAAGTCTGGCCCTGCAGACCCCTGAGGTTGCTTCTGCTTGAGGACGTGAGTTTGGGGGAGGGGGTTGTTTGTTTTATTGCCGCATACTTGACACACAAGGTCACACTGGTTTCAGGTGTCCCACGTAGAGATTCGACAACTCTCTGTAATATTGTGCTCACCACAAGGGGAGCTCCTACCTGAGGACATGAGTTTTGATGCCAAGGACCAAACAACAAGGTCAGAAGGCAGGATCAACAGGTGCATTCTGGCTGCAGAGGGAGCAGCTGCTTGTCACTGGTGCTGGGGCAAGATCAGGTGGGAGCTGGACCATTCTTGGCAATGCATCTGAAAGCGCTCTTGGGTGGATCACAGATGACATGGGTGTGGAGAGTGAGGCAAGCGGAAATGGGGAATAAGATCTGCATTTCACTCTTAATTAGCTCAGGAGGTGCTGATCCTGCTGGCAGAGACAAGGCACACTGACAGAGTATCTCCCAGTGTGAAGACTTTGAGTGCCATCTAGGACATGTTAAGTTTTAGATGCCCTTTAAGGACTCTCAGAGCACTGGGAATTCTGCTATAGAAACAGACAATTGGACAGTGTTTTTTCTGAAACACCAAGAGAGGTGTTTAACTCCTTCATGGTGAGAGCTCTTTGGGACTTCCAAACCCCACTGTGCCATGATGCAGTCACTGACTGCTTAAGCCCAGCCTTAGCACATCCATACTTATGTAGAAAGAACACAGCCCAGCTGGCTCATATTGTCCTGCATTTCCAGGACTGGAGCCTTCTGGGGGGACACCACAATCTCCCAAGTGCAAAAGGGGCCTTTGCTTGCTGCGGCCCATCCTGGAGGGCTGAAGTGCACCATGACACATGGCATAAGGAGGACAAATGTACCAGGAGGATGTTGCCATCTGTGTGAACCAACATGGCTCTTTTCGGAGCAGAGGTGGATAACATTTAGTCAAGACATGTGGACCCCAAGCAAGTCAAAGAGACTGAAGGGTAGTGCTGTCCAGTGGAGCGCTCAACCCCCCATGCAAGATCTTCCTAGACCAGAACAACACGAACTTCTCAGAGCACCAGTTTGTACAAAAAGGATGGATTTCCCCACCGAGAATCTGAGAAGCAACCACTAGGTATGAGGTAGGGAAGCTCAGAGATGTGGTTGAGAGAGATTTCTGCCACTCCCAGGAGAAGGGTCACAAGAGAAAGTGTGTTACTGAGTCCAGTCTGGGAACCACACAGCCTGAGATGATATCTGAGTGCAGGATCTATTAATGATGGGGCAGGCGGCTGGGATCTCCAAGGAGAGTCCCAGCTGGAGGTGCACAGAGACAGCACAGAGATGCCCACTGAGGCCTCAGTTATGACCAAGGCCATCCAGAGAGAGGGTATAAGAAGACAGGAGGGCACCTACTGCAAGACACAAACATGACTGACAGGCAGGGGACAAAGGCCTCTGAGGAGAGCAGCCAGAGAGTAAACTGAAGGCCAAGGGCAGAAGAGGTTTCAGGAAGGAACTGGCAGTCTCACGATCAAAGGGAAAAAAAATACAACTTATATCAAAAATAAAGGGCTAATCTTTCTAATATATAAAAACCAAGAAGGGGTACCTGGGCGGCGCAGCTGGTTGAACGGCTATCTTAAATGCCTTATAAAAACAGGCAATTTACTGGCTGTGTTTTCTCCTGCCACTAAATACAAATCCAGTAATTGTTTAACTTTGAAAGCTTTTTGGTGTGAGATTTGATACTTAAACAGAATGCAAAAGACAGAAAACACTCATAACGGCACCAACCCAACAAAAGAATCTTATATTTACATGTTAACCTTTCTTCCTGCCCGTGCATAGCCGCTTTCCCCATGAGTCCGGAAAGCTTTGTTCTGAAGTAGGATTTTAATGTCCACAAGTTAGTCCACTGACAAAGGCCACCAGAAGACTAACAGGGGCTCAGCTCCTGACCCAGAACTGCAATTCCTATCAGTGTATCTTGTCTTCACCAACTACCTCCGTGCCCCCTACTGTCAGAAACCGCTTAACTCAACCAAGAGGACACGTGCAAGCCGCCTTGACTCGGCAGTGACCACAGCGACCACGTGCATCGGTGCTCTGAAAATCAAGGTAAGGGGTAAAGAGGCCAACGCAAACGAATCAGGAAGATGAGTAGCACTGTTCAGCGTTCACTGTGTGCTGGGCCCGCTCCTAAACACTCCGTATGCATCCCCTCCCCGGGTGTGCCCCCTCAGCACAGCCAGCACCACTGGGCAGGCGACCGAGGACCCCAGAAGCGCTCCAGGCTTGCTCCAGTCACGGGGCTGGAGAACACCGCCCCGCACTCCCAGCCAGCAGTTGTCCCAGAACCTCCGCCCTCCCCGCACTCTGGCACCTCCCCACACTGCCTCGGGGCACAGGTGTGTTGGCGGGCTGGAAAAGCAAGTGGCCAAGGGACGGGCTCAAACCCCACGACTAGACTCCTTGGCGCCCGATCCACCTGACTTCCCAGCGTCGTGGTGAGATTTCCACCCCAGCTCCTCCTCTCCCTGACCCACGTTTCGGGACGATCGATGCCCATCGCTAGTCACCAGCGCGGGGTGAGGATCACAGGTCCAAGCCCACTGCCGTGACACAAAGTTGGGAAGAACCGAAGTGCCCGTCGGAGGGGCGGTAAAGGAGTCCCGGGTGCACAGCCCGTGCGGGCCGCGCGCGTCTCTAGCGCTACCACGGGAAAGACGCTGTGAGGTTTAACGTGGGGGGCAGAGCAGCACCACCACGCGTGGGGGGAAACATGCACAGATGCACGGACCCCGAAGCGCCTCTCCACACGCGACTTCTGAGCTACCACAGAAGAGTCGCGTCCGCCACCCGTCCCCGTGCAGGACCTGACAGCCGCCATCTCGCCAGTCATCGCATTCCCTCCTGAACCCGAGGGCCAACCCGCCCCGTGGCCTCCCGCCACGGTGACAGACAACACAAACCTCATAGGCGACATCCCTGCCAAACGACCGGCCTGAATCTCATCAGGAGGATACGAGACACCCCCGCTGAGGGGCGCCGCACAACGGCTGGCCTGCCCTCCTCAAACGCCCTGGCGCCCGGGAACACGGTGCACGCTGGGACCCCCTTGGCTGACGGGGAGGACGGGCGGGGCGACACACACTGCGCACATCACTGGGGCGACTGGCAGGAAGAGAATGTGCACCGCGGATGAGCTGAGCGCACCATCTCGCTGTGCAATGTTCTGACGGTGTCTCTGTGCTTGGGAAACAGACAGTGATGCTCTCAGGGGTCCAGGGGTCCAGGGTCTCCAACGGACTCAAACGGTTCGGGGAAAGCACGCAGACACACAGGCACACGCACAGGATGAAGACGGGGCAAAGTACAAACGATTGGTGAAGGCAGGACTCGCCTGTACCGTTCTTGCAACTTTCGTCTACATTTGAAATTACATCAAAATAAAAGGTTTAAGACGTCACGTGCACGTCATGTGCATGATCTGACCCCAGCGCCTTCAGCAGCTCAGCGTTAAGAGAACGAGAGGCCTCCCTTCCTGTCCCTGGAAGAAGACACCTGGAATCACGCGAAGGAGGGAAAGCAGGCCTGGGGAAGAGGAGAGCGACCCATTTTTACCGCACATCCTCTGGTGCCGCGTGACTGTCTTACGTGTGCGTGAGCAAATCAATCAGGAAAATGAAAACGCAGAAACTCACGGGAAGGAACCCTTCTGCACCCACAAGGGGAGCAGCATCCTCAGGGACGCGGCCTATCCTTCAGCTCCATGCTCGCTCCGCCTCCGCCCGCCTCCCTGCTGGGCAGCCCAGCCGCGTGCCTCACGCGCCACCTGCTGGCGAGTGGGGCACGGCAGCCGAGGCGCGCCAGCCCTCCATGCCACCCTGGCACCCACCCTCCACCATGCGTGATCTCGTGACCACGGCCACATCCCACCTTCCGGAGAGCCCCCGCAGCCAGCAAGATGCCCGATGCAGCGTGGCACTCCGCAAAGAAGAGACGTACCGAGGAAAGGACGCAGCTTCGAGGGGAAGCCCAGCAAATGGACTTGGAGGCGAGCACCCGCCTCAGAGCCTGGTGGCAGAGCGGCCCCGCGGCCATGGTGACCCCCGAGAAAAAACCAACTCCAGGAGATGGGGCGGGAACCAAACAAAGTGAAGAAAACATGCCGGTTCCTGGCCGCCGCTGTCAGACTCCCACCGACCCCCTCCTTCCCGCAGAGCTGACTCATTACCCTAAAATCGAGGCCCGGAAAGGCTTCACACAGAAACCCTCAGGCTACAGAGGAGCAGTGTCTGGCCCAGTTAAGCTTCCAGAAAAGCCTGTAGAGGTGGGCGCGTCGAGGTGAGAGCAAGTCCCAGCCCCTCCGCAGGGCTGACCCCTCGCTGACTGTACGGCCTGCTGGCCCGCCCACCCCAGCCCCGCCTGGGCTCCCGGGGTGTTCACGGCCTATCCCACACTTTACACCAAGGAAGGTGTAAAGTCAGCAGCACTCAGGACCCCGGTCACCAGCTCTGTGTCCCCACGAAGACTCTGAAAAGCAAGGACACCAAGCTGGCCAGTCCTGTGGAGCAAACCAGTTCAGCCCCAAGAAGCCAAAGGAGTTCAATCGGAGCATTAAAAAATAGAACAGAACAGAAAATACTGGATCAATGGCCCCGGAAGCCCATGACCAACACACAGCTGAAGTAAACCTCAAGGACAAATGGCTCATCTCTGTGACTCGTGCAGGACGGCACAAACACATCGCCCTCTGACAAAGTAAACCACACGTGGGGGCGCAGGTGCACGTGCCCTCCGCCGGCGGGGGACTCACCGAGGTCTGTGTTCAGGCCGGCAAGGAGCTGCTTGAACTTGTCGAGCCGGGAGGCCTCTCGTTCACTTAACGCTGAGCTGCTGAGGGCGCTGGGGTCAGACGTGCCACCCACGGCGGCCGCCACCGAGTGCGGGAGAGACTGGGACCGCTGCAGAGGAGCAGTGTCACCGGCGCTGTCAGGGGAGAGAGCGCGCAGGGGGTGAGGATGGCCTCCTGGACCCCCCCCCTACAGCCCTGTTCCCCAGTAAGAAGGCTCCCACCCGCGCCACCTGCCCTTCGGGAACGCCACCGTGCCACAGCCATCCCCTCCTCCCCTAACCGGCCAGTGCAGACCCGCGTGACCGGGGCAATAAAGTGAAACTAGTGAACACCCAAGAAGCCCACTGGCCTTATTGGTAGAGTGATACTCCCTGGGAAAACAGACGTGCCTCACACAAAAGCAAAACGACAACCAGAAAACTCCAGACCCCCCCGGCTCCCCCACTGCTAGCAGGCCTGCCCAGGTGACACAACCCAAGGATCTGCTGGTGCCTGTGGGGCTCACCTGGGCCTGAGCACAGAAGGAAGCCACCGAGCCACATGTGGAGGAGCATGAAGCCCAAAAAGGCACTGCACCCCTTGGATCTCCCCAAGCCCCATGAGGGAGGCGGGCAGGGACCATCACCAAGAGAAAGCACAGGAAGCTAGAGCGCATGCAAGCAGGGGAGGGGCAGCAGGCTGCAGGCCTGCCCAGCACCCCCCGCCCCAGGGCACCACCTACCACCACGCACAAAGGCCCACCGACAGGGACACACAGGGCCGAAGTGAAACCGTGCGTTAAATCCAGGAACCCGGACCAGGAAGAGCCACAGAAAAGAGCCCAAGGCCCAACACCCACTCAGAAAGAGCCCCCAGGGACCAACGAGGGGCCCTCAGGAAAGGCAGCACCAGGCTGTACACCCCCAGGTCAAAATACCCTTGAATGGTCACATCTCCCAGAACTGAAATTTAAAGTAGAGGAAAAAACCAACTCCAGGAGATGGGGCGGGAACCAAACAAAGTGAAGAAAACATGCCGGCTCCTGGCCGCCGCTGTCAGACTCCCACCGACCCCCTCCTTCCCGCAGAGCTGACTCATTACCCTAAAATCGAGGCCCGGAAAGGCTTCACACAGAAACCCTCAGGCTACAGAGGAGCAGTGTCTGGCCTAGTTAAGCTTCCAGAAAAGCCTGTAGAGGTGGGTGCGTCGAGGTGAGAGCAAGTCCCAGCCCCTCCGCAGGGCTGACCCCTCGCTTGCAGGAGGTGTCCCCACCGGCCTGCCCTCCGGGAGGCCCGGGGCAGCGATGCTCAGACCCCCTCCTCCCCGCCCTCGGAATCTGCCACTCCGCTGTGCGTCATGATTCCTCAGGAAAGACGATGGGCGGGAGGAGGGATTCCTCGTTCTAACGCGGAACCAAACGTGCTGAGTTTTACTTCTCCGCCATCTTAGAGAGCATCCCTGTGATCTACTCCTACATGTAAGGACCACGTCGTCCTGAGCAGAGCACACATCCGGTCCCCCTCTAAGATGGGACGGGCAGGGTTTGCAAGGCACAGTGATGCCCCCTGCCCCCCGAGGAAGCAGGAAGGTCAACAGCAGGTCTCCCTGCTACTGTAAGTGGAAAACACATCAGTGTCCCCCTCCGGGGCAGCCAGTGTCCACCCAGGACCCACTTGCAGCTCAGTCCCCATCAGCGATGGACAGTCCTCCCCAGCCACGCCCACTGAGCCCTTCGCAGCCAAAGGCGCAGGCTCCCCATTACGCCAGCGGCACCCTAGACCAAGCAAAGGGCATCTGACTTCAGATACAAAGGTACAGATACCTCAGACGCTGATTAAGAAAGTCAGGACAGTCGAAAGGTAAGCAGGAGGCACGGGGAAGGCCAGCTGGAGACCCCTGCTGCAGCATCCCGGAACTTTCAGGCTGCCATCTACCCAGGGCTGAAGGCCAAAGGCGAGGGCAGCCAGCAGGCCCTGTGGACGCTGCGTGGGGTGACGTGAGCTCCCACGGTGGCGCACCATAAAGGGACAGGCACCGACACAATGCCGGCAGTGGGAAGGGCAGGCAGCACTCTGATCACACTGGGCCCCATGAAACACAGCGTCCAGGCCCCAGAAACACAACTCCGCTCCGAGGAGCACAGTCACATGAAATGGCACTCACAGGTCCCTCACCTCAACAGAGGCCTGGCCTGGCCCTGGGCCGTGGGGCCGGTGCAGGGACAAGAGTGGGGCAGAACATGGAGGAGGGGAGAGCCCGCGGTCACCAGGCCCTGAAGACACCTCAGTTTAGCTCAGCAACATTCACGTAATGACACAGGACCCCAAAGGGAAACAAAGTTAATGGGACATGGTCCCTGCCTTGGGGGAACTTGCAAACCACGTAGATGAGGTGTGCAGTCAGCCAGCCCAGCCCACCCGGCACCTCCCCTCGGCTGGGATGGCCCCACCTCCTAAGCCTGGAGCCTCACCCTACGGGTAACCTTAGAGACATCACCTCCTCCCTGAAGCCTTCCCTGACACGTCCTGGCCCTCCTCAACAAGACTGAACTGGGACTTCTACCCGTGGGTGCTTCTGGGTCCTGTCCATCACTCCAAGGCTCCATTCCACCCACGGAGGTGAAAGACTCAGATCCTTGTGTTCCCCACTAGACTGCCTGCCAGTCAACACATCTGCGCCGGGCCCAGCCCAGTAAGAATGAGGGCTGATGTGGTCGTCTTAGCGCCATCACCGAGTAAGCCATCCCCACGACTAACAGCCCACCAAGGGAACTGAACACAGGCCCACGAGTTCTGCGCACCACTGCCAGCCACCCGTGGGGTCGGCTCCCTGAGAGGCCACCTCGGGCTCCAGAGCGGCCCTCTCCCCCTTGGCACTGTGCACGGTCGGGCCAGAGAGTCCCCTGGGGGCCAGGCACCCTGGTCTCTGCCCACTTCATGCCAGGAGCACACACTCCCTGCCCCAGATGTTAACAGGAAAGGTCCTAACACAGGACCTCATGTCCCCTGGGGGCGGCATCACCAGCGAAGAGGCCCTGCTCTCTGTGGGGAGGTCAGCAGCTAGCAGCAGGCCCTGGCCTCAGACGCCCTGGACTTGAACCCTACCCCACCGCTCAGCATGCTGGGCGAGCCACGTGACCTCCCTATACCTCCCCCGTAAGCTCTCTCCTAGACTGGCTGCAGAGTCAGAGGCATCTGTTCATGACGAGGGCCCGAGACAGTCTCTGCCCCACAGTAAGCGATGGATAAACACTAGCTGCTACCATGAAATGAACTGCTCACAAAAAGCCTGCTCAGAAAGCAAAGGAAAGATGGTTGATGCGCAAACGGGTGGAGGCAGAAGGCAAACACAGTAATCGGCCCCTTCCCCAGCATGAGCCGCTTGGGGTATCCTTCACCTGGCTTTTACAGGAGGAGGCCACCCCAAGGCTCCCCACCCTGGCAGGATGCAGCCCAACTGCATACCTGGCCATGGGCTGAATGCCGTGAGGCCCCAAAGTCCGTATGCGCAAGTCCTTCCACAGACGGGACGGTGTTAGGAAGAAGGGCCTCAGGTTTAGAGGAAGTCAGGAGGGTGGGGTCCCCTGATGGGATCGGTGCTCCTGAGGAGTCACGAGACAGCCTGTTTCCCCTCTCTAGTCTCCCCCATGTTGGGATACTGTGAGAAGGCAGCTGTCTGCACCCCGAAGAGAGCCAGGACCCAACCGTGTTGGCCTCCTGACCTGACTTCCGGCCTCCAGAACTGGGAGACCTAACTTTCTGCTGCTCATGCACCATCGGCCTGGGGTGCTCTTCGCAGCAGCCCCACGGCCTGAGAGAACAGGAGCCTGCCCGCTCAGCCGAGATGGGCCCCCACCTCTATGGGTGCTGAGGCCCGCCCCCCAGCAACTGCTCAGATGGCAGGTGTCACAGAGGCTCTACCCAGGCCCCAGAGGCGTGGGGCACAGCAGAGGGCAGAGGAATCCGGGGCACCTGCCAATTTGAACAGGCACCCAGGCTGAGGGCACTGCCCGGCCGGGGCGCGCAGGCGGTAATCGGCATAGGATGCGTCAGTCTCGGGGAACCCCGACCCACTCGCAGAAGCCCTAACCAGATTTTCATTTTTAAACTCAAATACTTTGAAGTTCAGCCTATTTTGGAGAAAAATAGTTCAGATTCCAATATGAAAACTGGTCAAAGGAACTAATTCACAGCGTTCTCACCCACGAAGACGTGTGATGTTCCAAACATTAGTCAGCTCCCGGGAAGGGTTTCTGAAAACTAGACAGGGGGATGAACGCCAGCTCCGTGGTCCCAGCAGGGCAAGCTGAGGCTGCCCGATGCCCTCTTCTCTCCTCTGTAAACAAGGGGCAGTCCCCCTGACCCCCAGAGACCCTGGGAGCGGGAGGCCGTGAGTCCGCCGCGGTGCAGGCCGGCCCCTCTGCCACCAGCTCCCCACGCCTCACTGCCTCAGCTCACTGATGCTCACGTGTCACCTTCTCAGTAGGGCATCTGGACGCTCTGACTGAAGATTACGCCCCAGGTCCAGGCTGCTGTCGCCACCTCCCACCTCCTTCTCGACCCAGGGCGTTTGTCTCCTCCCCGCACGCTCCAGGCCTCCTTACTGACCCAACGTGTAGGTTGGTGCTTGTCCCCCTCACCAGAACACACACTCCAGGCCAGGGACTTCCTGGGGGCACCCCAAGCCCTAAGAGTCTGGCCCATCACAGAGGCTCATCAAACACTGTGTTGTTTTACATCATAGACACCCCCAAAAACAAAAAGCAAAGCTACTGAGAGCCGTCTCCAGAAAGGCTACTGAGCACCAGGCACGGGGTACAAGACAGGCGCTGATCGCATCCTTGAGTTTATGACCTGGAGGCAGTCATTCCACACCCCAGACTCTGCCCCCTACAGACTCTGAGCCACGTGCAGGTGTCCCGGCGGCGGAGGGGGTGTCATTGGAAGCTGTCGGAGGAGGTGCAGCCTCTGAACGTGCAGTTGGCCTGGCCCCTGAGCTGGAAATGTCCCCCTGGGACAACCGGGGCACACTTAGAAGGGAGACACAGTCCCCTGGGGCCTGGTGCTCACTGTGGGCCTCTCACAGCCAGGCCACGAAAGCCACACACCACACCCTCCACCCGGAGGAGAGAAAGAAGCACTCAGCTGGGGACACAAAGAAAAGCCTACGGCTTCTCCTGCCTGGGAAGGCCTGTGGGCACGTGGATCACAACCTCAAGGTCTTCCAAGGGCACGAGCTCCTGTGGCAAAGAGGACGGAACGCCCGCTAACCTCCCGCACCGAGAGGCCTCCAGCCCCTCTCCCTCGCAGCACTGCACGTCATCTCCTCGCGCCCCCGCCCACCTGCAGGACAGGATGTGTGGCTCTCGCTGACGGACTTCACCAGCCGGAGGTCACCGCTCGGGACCGAAGGAGGCTCTGCCGAAGGCTGTGGCTCCTGCTCGGGGCCCGGCGCCTCCTGCGGCTTGCGGCGCTCCTGCCGCTGGCTGTGGTTGCGCAGGACGTGGTGGGCCGTCTCCATGACCACGTCGGTGTTCAGGCTCTCGGCTGCCACGGCCAGGAGCCCGTCATCGTCCTCGCCGGCATCCCAGGCGTCGCTGGTGTTGCTCTCAAACTCCGGGAAGGTGCTGATGCTCTTGGCCTTCACGGGTGTGGCGGGCGCCTTGGGCGCGCCCTTGAGCAAGCTGCAAAGCAAAGGCAGACTTCAGCTGTCCCCTCGGAGGCTGGAGCGGACTCACCCCACGACTGGTCAGAAAGGAGCCCATGGATGAAAGGTGCACATTCAAGCTTCCAGTGTCAACTGAGCTGAGGGTGAAGAGCAAGCACAACCCAAAGAGGCATCCGAGAGAGGACTCCTGGGGCACCCAGGGGGCTCAGTCGGTTAAACGTCTGCCTTCGGCTCAGGTTGTGATCCCGGGGTCCTGGGATCGAGCCCCACATCGGACTCCCTGCTCGGTGGGGAGTCTGCTTCTCCCTCGCCCCCCTCCCTACCCCCCCACTCTTGTGCCCTCGCTCTCTTTCTCAAATAAATAATCCTAAAAAAAAAACAGAAGAGGACTCCTAGGATTCGGGGGCAGGAAGGAGAGGCTCTCGAGGGGCAGTACCGCTGAGCAGTCTCTGCTCAGTGACAGAAGCCACTCAGGAGGAACCCCAGCACCGCAGTCACGGCATTCACAGGGAGTCCCCAAACCTCACACGGGCCAGTGCCCGCAAACCTCCTAAGGCAGCAGTGGGGGCGGCGGGGGCAGGAGCGGCTGTCCTTCAGCGTGCAGACGCGACACAGCACCACTAGAGCAAGAGCCCCCGCGGGGGGCCCAGTGACACCCGCCAGCATGGGCAGGGGGTCACACCAGCCCCCTGCGTGGCTCTGGTGGAGGAGCCAGACACAGGGGCAGAGCGTGCAGTGGAGGGCAAGGGAAGTGAGCTGACCACCGAGAACAGGCCCGGGGCCAGGCCCTCCCGTCAGCTAAGGGGGTGCCAGCTTCATGCTCTCCTCCACTTTGGGCTGGGCTTCCTTCTCTGCCCTTGTCCGGAGGACCAGTCGTGCGAGGCCCTGACGCGTGTCTGCTCGAGGGAAGACCACGCTGCTCCCCTCAGGACCCCGAGGAGGCCGGCGGGTCACCAGGACGCCCAGGCGCGTGCGTGATGCAGCATGACCACAGGCCTCACTTACGTGCCGTGTAACAGTGGGTCGAAGGGGGGGTGCTGGGCGCCGTACACATGCTGGATGCTGTTTAAAAAAAAGGAAAACCGATTAGCTTCTCTCCAGCTTCCTCAAGAGCCCACACTAACTCGGGAAAAGGACCAGTTCCCAGTAACCTACACACCTGAGCAGCAACTCTCCCTCAGCTGCCACGGGTCCCGAGGGCCCGTCTGGAAGGGATGAATGGCGCCACACAGGTCCACGCCACACACACAACGGGGCATTCAGCCTGCCGGGCAAATGGGCCTCAGCCCGGGGAGCCGCAGCCCTGACCGCATCGGCAGGGCCTCAGGCGCCGCTGCCGACGAGGCTGCTGGGAGCTGGGAGCCACTCAGCATCGCCCAGTTCCAGCAGCCTCTGCTCCCGGACCGTGTGCCAGCGGCAGGACTATGAACTAATGCTGAAATGCCCGTCTGGAAATTCCCATCTGCTGCCATTTCGTCAAAGACAGAATGCAGAATCACAAAAAGAAGATAAATGTGTTTTTTAAAGACTTAATGATTTTATTATAAAAGTTTTCTGGGGGCGCCCGGGGGGCTCAGTCGGTTAAGCGTCTGCCTTCAGGTCAGGTCATGATCCCAGGGTCCTGGGATCGAGCCCCACATCGGGCTCCCTGCTCCGCGGGAAGCCTGCTTCTCCCTCTCCCACTGCTGCTCCCCCACTCGTGCCCTCTCTCTCTCTCTCTCTCCCTCTCTAATTAAGTAAAATCTTTTTAAAGAAGATAAAAATTAAATTTAAAAATAAAGTCTTCTGTTCATCAGAGTAAACTTGGAAAACAGATGGAAACAAAACAGCCCCCGTGGCAGACACCAGGGCGGTCCACTGAGTGGCTGCACCCGCACCCCTTCCTCGGCGGGGGCGTCCAGCCAGGGGAGGCCCTGTGACCCAGCGCAGCTCAGTCACCAGCAGTGTGGGCCCTTCCTCATCTGCCTGGAACACACATGTGAGGCCTAGAGGTTCCCCAGCCTCATGCCACCATGAGAAATGAGCAGGAGATATCAACCACCCGAGAACGCGGGCACGGCAGGAAGATGAGAAAGAGCACGGGTCTCGGGGGCACTGCAGCCCTGCCAACACCTTCATCTTAGCCCAGCACCAGAACTATAAGACAGCAAGTGTGTATTATAAGCCAATAGGGTTATGCTGATTTGTTACAGCAGCAGCAGAAAACCAAAAGAGAACAGAATGGTGACAGACAGGTGACAAAGCCATCCTCTTGGCTTATGGAAGCTTAAAGGTCTCTGTGGTTAAGTCAACCTCACTTTTATGCGTTACACGGGGCTCTCCTTTGAGGACTCTACTTAAAAAGGCCCACCCCCAACTGTCTTAGTCCATCCCGGCTGCTATAACAAAAATACCACGCATGTGGCAGCTTATAAACAAAGACATTTATTCCCCACAGTTCTGGAGGCTGGACGTCCAAGATCAAGGTGCTGGCAGATTTGGTATCTGGTGAGGGCCTCAGCTGGTGCCTTCTGCTGCGTCCCCACCCAGCGGAAGAGGCAGGGAAGGTCTCTGGGGTCTCTTTTATAAAGGCTCTAATCCCACCCTGGGGGAGTCCAGCCTCAGGACCTCCTCACCCCCTCAAAACCCCCACCTCCTAACACACTCAGTCTGGTGGGTAGGGCTTCCTGTGAGTTTTGGGAGTGCACGAACATTCAGCCCAGCCGACTTACTGAGATGGCATAAATCTCCAACTGTGTCCTAGTTCCACACTTGTGTGGTTTTATTTTTTACCCTTGAGTATTGAGTCACCTAGAATTTATTTTATTTTGCTACAGACTGTAGAAAACTTTTTTTTTCTTTTGACAGAGAGAGAGATAGCGATAGCAGGAACACAAGCAGTGGGAGTGGGAGTGGGAGAAGGAGGCTCCCCGCCGAGCAGGGAGCCCGATGTGGGGCTCGATCCCAGGACCCTGGGACCATGACCTGAGCCGAAGGCAGACGCTTAAGGATTGAGCCACCCAGGCGCCTGTAGAAAACTTTTTTAAAAAATAATCCACTGCTCCAATGACATTGGTTAAAAACCTATCCTATTCCCTACTGGTTTGCGGACACTGTCTTCAATACGCAGGAGATTACTCTATGCTGGGGCATTTTTTCAGTTTTCCATTCATTCCTCCATGTCTGTGCCTGTGACACAACATTTTAATTACAGAAAATGTTCCCTTTTATATCCTAAAATGTTTCAGCAAAATTTAACGTACATTCGATAGCCCCCACGTTGCGACGGGGTTGTGAGGAGTATGAGGCAGGCAAAGACAAGCACACTGGACTCCAAACTCGCACGAACCTTTAAGTTTACCTACAAAAATAAAAAAAAAAAAATGAATTGGCGTTTATAATGTTCTTGGACAACAAAAACATGGTAAACTGGAATATTATTCAGTGAAATAGTCATCAGCTAAAAAATAAAGTGCTAGCTCACGCTGTAACACGGAAGAACCTTGAAACCATCACGCTACGCATGGGAAGCCAGTCATGAAAAAACACCTATTCTGGGGCGCCGGGGTGGCTCAGCCGTTGGGCGTCTGCCTTCGGCTCAGGTCCTGATCCCGGGGTCCTGGGATCGAGCCCCACATCGGGCTCCCTGCTCCGAGGGAGGCCTGCTTCTCCCTCTCCCACTCCCCCTGCTTGTTCCTGCTCTAACACTCCCTCTCTGTCAAATAAATAAAAATCTTTAAAAAAAAAACCTATTCTATGATCTCACTGACATGAAATGTCTAGAAGGGAGACAGAAGGGAGACTAGTGGTTGCCTGGGGTGGAGGATGGGAGACTGGGGTGACAGCAGAAGACTACAGGGCTTCTTCCTGAGGGGACAAACATATTCTAACGTTGACTGTGGCGACGGATACACCGCAGTACCACTGACTTTCACCCCTTAAATGAGGGAATGGTGTTGTACGTGAATTTTAATGGGTGAACTATTATTATATGTGAGTCTCAATGAAGATGTAAGCTTTTAAAGGCAGCACAGTTTCCACCTGGTTCTCTTGGGTTCTCTCTTGGAACCCAGGCACCAGGCTTTGAAGAAGCCCACATGTAAGCACTAGAACCACAGCTTCCAGGGGGTGTCCCAGCTGATGATGGCCGGCATCAACCTCGACAGGCGTGAGTCACCAGCATTCTTCTGATTTCCCTCCCAGCCTCTGAACCTTCCCAGTGACACCATGGAAAAGAGACCAGTCTGACCCACCGAATCCAGGAGGGTTTGGGGGTTTGTTGTTGTTGTTGGAAAGAAAGAGTATCAGCCCACGGAGGTCATGCACAACCCCTCTGTCGTGGTCCCTTTCCAGAAATCTCTTGGAGGCTTCCCCGACCTTGGTAGGTTTCCTGTTTTAAGAAGCAAAGGGCCTGGGTAATTGCTCTAGGCTTTAGCTTCCTCGTCTCGGAAATGGGAATAAGAACGTGTAAGAAATGAGACAGCCATAAATGGCAGCAGCTTGACTACCGCCAAGTGACCTACAGACAGCATTCACCGGTACTATGCACCTACCTTGCTGGCTTGCACCCTTCCCTTATGTCTCAGTACACGAATAGGGCTCAAAACCAGCAGGCAGTGGGCCTCTGCCCTCTATGTGCAAGGCATTTCCATGGGTCTTGCAGTGTTACCACACGCTGCAGGCCCCTTGCCTCCCAGGAAAGCGCCAATGCATTAATTCTTCATGGGCACACCACTTGTGTTTATTGAGCAGAAAATGTTCCAGCAAAGTTCAAGCTCAGACTAAAAGGCATCTCATTTTATCTTATTAAAATTGCATTTTTATCTGGTCTTGCATAGCCAAAAAGAAAAACAGGCTTCAGCTAAAGCCATTTTAAAAGAAAAAGTAGCACATCATGAAATCATTCTTTAAAAAATATGTTCACCAATAAACTTTTTAATGAATTGTACTGCTTAAAAACACCACAGTAACTCATTGCTTTAAAGAGGACCCCAGTGATTCCTCACAAAAAGCAGATACACACGACATAATGCCACTTCTAGGCACACGCCATGAAAACCCCTTGTGTAAGGACGCAGGAGGCAGGTTCAGCGATGTCACTAACGCTAAAAAGAAAAAAAAAAATTAAGAAAAACTTTTATCCATCATCAACTGAAGAATGAATTCACATTATCCCTTTGTCCATTATCAACTGAGTAACAAATAAACAAACTGGAACATACACCTATAATGGAATACTAACTACAATAAAAACGAAGGAACTACAAGAACCAAGATCGGGGAACTTACAAGCCTACCACTGAAGAGTAACTTGAATATGCACAGTATGATGTCATCTATAAAATGTTTTTAAAACGAGAAAATGAAACTATCTACCGTGTCGGATACATACATGGTGGTCAAAACTCCCAGCTCATGATGGTGATGAAAACAAACGGAGAACAGGATGGGAGCGGAGGGCTGGGGGTGGAGGGGACTCTGGGGCCGGGAAGAGGATGCAACGGCTTCAACTCCGAAGAGCAAAAGTGCGCAAACAGTCCCGAGGCCCATCGGTGGGTGACCAGGCACACGCCGGAATATACCGTCAGCTTCCAACAAGGAATGAAGGGCTGACAGCCGCTCCCACGTGGATGAAGCCTGGAAACATCATGCGCAGCGAAAGGAACCAGTCACGAAGACCACATTCATATGATCCCACACACATGAATAAGCACATGTCCAGAATAAGCAAGTCTACAGAAACAGAAAGCAGATGAGTGGCAGCCAGGGGCTGGGGAGGAGGGACTGGGGAGTCACGGCTGGTGAGGCAAATGCTCTAAAATTGACTATGGTGATGATCGTCCAACTCCACAGACTAAAAACACTGAACTGTACACTTTAAGTGAGTGAAATAGAGGACAGGTAAATGACGTCTCCACAAAGATGCTGAAAGGAAGGGAGGAAAGGGGGAGGGAGGGAGGGAGGGACGGGGAGAGGCGGAAGAAGCAGGAGGGTCTCCTCCCTGACCGGGTGTCCGGGAAGGCCGCTGTGCCGCGGGGGGCGAAGGCTGGAGCAAGGCAGCCCTTCTGCACCAGCCACCCGGCTGGCCTTTAAACAGGTCCGAGTCTACCTCTGCAGCCCCGAATGACAGAAGTCCCTAATGCCACCAGCCCAGAACAAAACATTTTAGTAGCTTCAAGTGAAAATGACAGACATGATATCACCCCTGAACTAAGACCATGAAACTTCAGAAGGATTCATTGGTTATCAGCAGGCCAACAGTGGGGACCACAGCTACATAATCTGGGCGGGCGGGTCTCCATCCTGTATATAGTATACGTAGTGTATAGCGTTAGCGACCACACAACTGGGTGGCCGGGAAGGACTCTCAGATGGAAGAACAAATGCACGAGAACTCACGATGAGTCATGGACCCAACCCTTGGCCCCACAGAGGTTCCCATCCAGCTGAGAGGGAGGCGCCCAGACCAAGGACTGTACCCCACAGGGCAGCCCAGGGACAGGCAGGTGGAGAGATGCCCCCCAGGATGGCGCCCGGAAGAGGACCCCCGACAATAGCCCCTGAGTTCTCAACAGAGCACACCCCTCCTGCATGAGGCACAGGGAGTCACCCCTACAATGCCCCCACCAGGAAGGGGAAGGCAGGCGATAGAGACAGTAAAGCTGAGATTCACCACAAGCAGGACGTGGGAGCGAGGGGAGCCCCCAGGCAGAGGGGGTCACAGGTGAGGACAGCCTGGAGACACGGGTCAGCTGGGGGAGGCCCACAGAAGAGAGACGGGGGCCCCTGAACAATCACCGCTGGCTCCTCAGGACTCTGCTCCACCACCTTTACAACTCGGGCAGGGAAAGTATAATAAAAACCAGAATCTAAGACTGTCTGAGTGCTCACTTGTGGATGGCCAAGTGCTCAAGCCTGGTCCCCCTTGGAGAGCACCCTTCATTCGGCAGACACTGGCTGAGCACCTGCTGCAGGCAGCGGCACCGGAGCTGGAGAGACGCCAGGGAGCCAGGGACACAGGGACAACCCCTGCCCGCCCCCGGCTCCCACGATGGCAGGCGATCATCTGAACACAGGTGAGCAGAGCAGCGGGAGAAGCAAGAGGGCGATTCTCTCCCGCGTGTCCTGGCAAACATGTCTCTGGTCTAACTAGGACACCCCACCACCAAGGCCCTGGCTTGGCAACAAAACTGACGAGCCAGGGACCAGGATGGCTCTCTGTTCCTCAGTGAAAGGCTGGAGTAGCAGGGCTGCTTTCAGCCCTGAGACAGTGAAGCGTGAGAGGAAGGGAAAGTACGGAAAAGAAGTGTCCTAAGCACCTAAAAGGAAACCAAGAACCTATGCCGGTTTAGGATGAAGTGCTCGCCCGCAGCTCGGGCGCGGGGCATCAGTGGGCAGGTCGGGAGCCCCCCCGCGGCCACCACCTCCCCAGCCACCAGCCTCCCCGGCCGGGCTCACAAACCATGCTGCGCCCCCTCTGCGCTCAACATGCTTTTCTGAAATATGAACTCAATTAGCGACTGATTTACCATTAGGCTCGCTCTAACACACAGCAATGTTCCCCAGGTTTATAAAATATTCAGAAGAAGTAAGTTTTCCAAGGAAATTAACTTTAGAGGGCTTCAGAGGAAAATGTGTGAAACACCATTATCACCACAGCAAACAATTCCATCGTCCCTCCACCCACAGCAGAGTCTGGAGCTCTCGGCCCCCGCGGAGCCAGCTGCAGGCACACGTGGCCCCACGGACCCAGACCGGAGCACCTCTCGAGCTGTCCCAGCAATGACACCCGCGCCACCCCACCCGGCATTGCCGCTCAGCCTGTCCCACACGCTCTTGGCCGTCCAGTGCCCCCACGGGGCCAGAGCTCCCCGTGAAAGGGACAGGATTTGTCTCCTGTCATGCTCCTTGGGGCCCCCAGAACCCAGCAGAGACTCGGGCTGCTGTTGAGTCGGTCAGCAGGTTGCTCCATGGACAGTCTCTTGGAATAGATCTTGGAAATGAGCATGTTTACAAAAAAGTGCTCCTCCACATGAGAAGAGGAACGTGTGAACTCACAGATACAGGGGACAGGCTGGTGGCTGTCTGATGTGGGGGGAGTCAGGCAAAAGGGTGAAGGTGGGCAGGAGGCACAAACTTAAATAAGTCCTGGGGAAGTGATGTGGGCAGCACGGTGACTACAGTTAGTAACACGGTGTCGCAGACTTGACCGCAGCTGACAGAGAAGACCTCACAAGTTCTCACCAGAAGAAAAGCAATCTGAACCTTGTGTGGTGGTGGAGGTTAAGGACAGGCTGTGGTGATCATCTCACAAGATATACACGTATCAAATCATTACACTGTCGCCCAAAACTCATACAATGTTCTACGTCCACGAGACCTCCACCCAGACAAAAGTGATGGGTGTGTATTATGGAAAACAGAAGATACGATGAGTAGGAAGAAAGGAGGCTTTGGAATCAGCAGGGAAAGTGTATAGCGTGGTGGCCAGCCACCCCCAAATCCCACCTTCCCTCAATCCTCCTGCCCTCGTCTGGCCTCCAGACGCACCTCGTCCAGCCCTCCCGACCTTGCTCTCCATCCCCCCATGCCACCGCACCCCCTTTCCTGCCGGCCTGTCCAGGGGCTCCTCAGACTGTTCTGCACATTCCTGACCTCCACACCCCACAGCCGAGGCCCCAGCCCTGCCTTCTTCCCACTTTACGGGAAACCACGCTCTTTCCTGATGCTCCTGACCGTCTCTAGGTAAAGGGTTCTCAAACCGCTGCCTCTGGGGCACCACTGGCAACTCAGCCACACGCTCCCCTCCTCACATTATCGGGTCCACTACAGAAGTCAGCTCTGCCCCAGTTGCCACACCTCATGCCCACTTCTCACAGTGTCCAGCCCCGGGACAACCCCCACGGGTCAGGCAGAAGACTAACGAGCGCACCCTGCCTCCTGCACCCCCTCACGCCCCTCTGCCACCAGCAGCTCCTGGCCCTCCTGGGCCGCCAACCTCTGTGGCGTCAAAACCCACCTGCTATCCCCACCACCCTGGATCGGGGCTCGGTCTCTCCTCCTGCCCAGGTCACCAACTCCCTCCATGACCTAATCTCCATGAATGGCAATCCAGGAGCCCAAGGGCCCCCCTCCCCTCCTCCCTGAAGCAGGCCACCCGCATTCAGCCAATCTCCACGTCCTCCTAAACCCTGAACCACTTCCCACAGCTCCACCCTCCCCTCTGTCACTGTCCCACGCGGCTGCCTCTGGTTCTGGTCTCGGCTCTGCCAGTCGGGGGACAGCTTCACTCCCCAGCTCAAAGTCTGCAAGGTCTTCCTGTCGCCCTTGGGGAACAACTGGAACCTTCCCTGTTCCTCTCCCGCCCATCCCCACACCAACACCCCCGCTTGGGGCCAGCGCTGGCCTCCAGCCCACCCCGTCTGAACGCCCAGCCCCCTCGGTCAGGTCCCTGCTAGCAATGCTCTTCTCTCCTGCTCACCTTTTCCTCGGCCGGGCCTTCATGCAGCCACTCGGCTGCCACACAGGCCAGCCCCGGGCCCTGTCTACAGAACACCCCCACAACCAAGTACGGACCTATAGGAACGGACGGTCCTTCAAGGTCCAGTTTGAGGTCACCCCCACCCTCCTCCACCAGCATCTCCCGTCCCTCGCCCACGCTGCCCCAGGAACTGGGAGCACCCCCCAGACTGCCCTGCAGGGGCCCAGGCCAGCAAACTTTAGGGCCTGTTGTGCACACAGAAGGCATCCAATAAATGCTTGAGACATTTAATGCTTCTTCGTTATACAAATATTTGAATGATTGAGCCTTTTACACGTGAAGGAGTTAAGTTCCACAGGACAGAGCACACTCTCTCAGAACCCAACAGGAGAGCGCCCTCTGATCAGCTCCTGCATTTCCCTGGCCTGACCCATCCCAACTGAGCCACTGAAAATCAGGCTGGTCTCTGAATCCACATTTGGTCTGGAAATAAAATGCCACACAGCTCTAGTGAGTGGTTCTGGAACAGAAAACTAATCCAAGAAAGAGCACAATCCTAAAGAGAAAACAAAACGGGGCCCAGAGCCACGCCACGGCGGCCCGACCCGAGGCACTACCAGCTCGCCCGGCAGACGGCCCGGCAGACGGCTACCGTCGGCGGAGGCAGGCCTATGTGCTCCTTCCCCACCCCATCAAACTGCCCAGCGCCCCCGACAGGAGGAGGAAAATGCTTTTCTCCTCCCAGAGCCGGCCTGAATTCTGAAAGCAGCGTGGCCAGAGGCCCCCTTTAGATCCCCACGCCGACAGCCCAACACATCATCCCACCAACTGGCTGGCCTCACCCCCTGCAAACAAGTTCACTGGAAAAACTAGAGAACCCCGTGTATCAACACCCTCAAACGGACTGCCCCCTGCCTCCAATGTTCACAGTGGCGCCGAGGGACCCGTCCCCTTTCCAAGACCCTGCCCTTTGCCCTGCTCTCCACACACATCATGCCCAGTGCCCCGTGACATTCCCAGTCACCCTGCGGAGGGCTTTCCGTGAAGGATCAGGAGCTCATCCAGAAGACAGGAATTAAGCGCTGTTTGTCTCCCCTGGGCATAAGCCTTAGAGCCAGCAAGCCTTATTCTTTTAGTTTAGTACAAAGGTTCACTGAAAGAAGGGTCCTTTCAAAACTGGAGCAAGGTATACGCGGGAACAGGTGGAGAGCTGCTCCATGGCACATTTGAGAAGCGTACCGAGGGGGGCTGGCCACGAGCAGCATGGCCAAGCTCAAGTGCAGAGGCTGTGTGAGAAGGAAGACAGCAGACGACAGACATGCCAGCCGGGGCAGTGGGCACACACCAGCGCCGGCGAACTCCAGACCCCCAGAGGATGGATGCCAGGATGGGCAAGAACACCCAGGAGGGTCCCCAGGGAACAGAGCTAATGCCGTCGGGGACCCAGAAGTGTCCAGCTCTGCCCTGAACTAGCATGCCTGGGCTCAGAGGCGGCTCACTCGCTTAGGAGCCACGGGCCTGGGACAGACGCAAGCTCGGCAGCACCGACTGGGCAGATGGGAGCACACTCGGGCAGGGCTGCCACAGGGCCTGGTGCGCGGGCTCCCCGGCCGGCTGTGCGAGCCCCGGCAACAGCATCTGCAACCCTTAATTCACGTGACTGCAGGCGGTCCACACTGTTCTAACCACTGACGACCACGGGCACCTACCTCTGTGACCCTCAGCACTCAGGCTGGAATTGCCATGGTAACCCCCAGAAAAGAGGAAACAGCATTTCAGAATGGGGGAACACAAAGACTAGGGATACTCAAAATGAAAGTCCCCCAAGCCCAGGGCCCCACAGACGGGAAGAACCCAGGCTGCCCCATTCCCTCTGGGCCTCCCAACCCCTCCGCCTCTGGCCTGTGGAGGGAATATCAGGGTGAAATTAGAAGAAGCTGTTCCTCTCCTCCTGAAGAACCCCCACGCTGTGCAAATCCGAGCGCATGGGAACCGCGTTCCTGACCCCCAGGCCAGAGGAGCCGGGCGAGGGCCGAGCCCAGGGGCCAGCAGTGGGAGCCAGCTCTGCCACCCACCCACAGCCCAGGCTTCCGGGTCTGCAAACCCCCGGCCGCAGGGAGGACCGACGGCGCGGCGCGTGTCAGGACCCCGGCAGGAGAGAAGCAGTCTCGAGCGTGCAGTGTCACAACAAGGCCCACAGTGCCTCGTCCGGGGTGTGGCACAAAACCCTGCCCCAGGACGTCTGTCCGCAGCCTCGCTCGGCATTGTCTGCGCTCCCAGGGCCCGGCACAGGGCCATCCCGACACCCGGCTGTCTGCAGGACCCCCCTGGCGGACCCATGCTGCACCCCAAAGGGCCTGCAGGGCCAGACTCCAAACTGCACATGTCTGAGCACCAGGAAGCTGAGGAGCGGTTAGAGACAGAGCTGCTGGAGAGGCCGGGGCAGGGCGGGTGTCCCATACTGGCCCCGGTCACTGCGCCACCGTCCTCCTCCGTGCTGCACGCAGGCAGGGCTAGCCCAGGGCAGTCTGGGGAACAGAGAAACAGACGTAGGCTCCCAGGGCACTTTGACTCGTTCCCACCCATGACCTCCGACCATGTCTTCACAGCCCTCGGGGAATGGAATACTTCCCCCTGCTCTCAGTTAAAAAAAAAAAAAAATGTTTAATCAAAATCATCAGGGATTTATTTATTTTAATCATTTCTGTCCTCACTTAAGAACATTCACTGCAACATGCTGCTTTTGCTGGCAGCGGGGAAGGTCATCAAGTCATCTCTAGGAGAATTGGTAAATGATACATAGCTATCCAATAGGATGCTATATGGTAACAAAATGAATGAATTAGTTACATATATCAACACAAATGATTTTCACAAGGTTAAATGAAAAAAAAGTTGAATATGGATGCATGCAATATTTGATCCCATTCTTTTTTTTTTTTTTTAAGATTTTATTTATTCATTTGACAGAGAGAGAGAGACACAACGAGAGAGGAAACACCAGCAGGGGGAGTGGGAGAGGGAGAAGCAGGCTTCCCCCGGAGGAGGGAGCCAGATGTGGGGCTCGATCCCAGGACCCTGGGATCATGACCTGAGCCGAAGGCAGATGCTTAACGACTGAGGCACCCAGGCGCCCCTAATTCCATTCTTTTAGAGTAAAAAAGAATGCTAAACACTAAATTCAGGAGAGTGGTTGCCTCTGGGTATTGGTGGGGACTTTGATCAGTAAGTAAGGAAGTCAAGGGGCTTCAGTTTTTTGATTATGCTTTATTTCTGATGGCCGAGGGAATTTATGCTGCTGTTGTTATATTATTTATGACTTTTCCCATGTATAAAATGTTTGATTACGGAGCTCTTACTGCTGTGTCTGTGAGCACACTCTTGGAAAAGGATGAGACAATGAATGAGCAGCATTCACTGAGAGGCGTGGAGGGGTCGGGACAATTGATGAGACCTGTGACTGTAGTTTAAGGCGAGCGGGCAAGATGGGACAAAATGCAAGGAGTGGCTCCAGGGAGAGGGAGCATCACAGCTGCAGCAGGGAGACAAAGATTGGAGCGCTGGGTAACAGGGGAGTCTTGGGCATGGCTGATCCTTGCGTGCAGGCAGCTTCTTGGGGAGGAGAGGTTGAACGGTGAGGGGCCACCTGGAGAGAGATCCTGAATTGAGACCAGAGGGTGGAGCCTTTGCACTGTGCACAAACCAGTCATTGCACGGCTGCCCCCTGGGAGGGGGACCCTGCAGCTGCAGGCAGCTCCTCAGAGGGACTTCTCTGAGCCATCAGCAGCTAGCACTCCCGGCCACGGAGGAAATGAGAGCCTTTGTCCCAAGGAGCGCATCTGGGCAGCACACTGTAGCACTGACTGCAGTCCACCTTGGCACCACTCGGATCCAGGAGCGTCACAGAGGTCACCACTGGAAGAACATCTCTAGGATTCTGCCTGCTTCCTTTTGTGGAAATTTACAAGAGGAAGGTTGACCCGATCTTGGAGCCCCTCCTCCTGGGTGGGGGAAGGCATGTCACTGTGGTGTTGGCTTGCATTTCCTACGATCTCATGAGGAAAATCGCCCCATGTGCTCACTGGGTCGTCTGACTATCTTCTTTGGAGAAATGCCTATTATTTTCAGTGGGGTTGTTTAGGTTCTTAAGTTGGAGGAGTTTTGTACACATTCTAGATGCAAGACTCGTATGAGATTTGCAAATATTTCCTACCATTCTTTGGGTTTCTTTACATCCTCTTGAGATTACCCTTTCATTCACAAAAGTTTTTAGCAACGTTGAAGTCCAGTGTCTCTGTTTTCTCTGTTGTTGCTTGGGCTTCGGGTGCCATACAAGAGACACCATATTGCCCAATCCAAGGGAAGGAAGATCTGCTCCTAGGTGCTCTTAGTTTCCTTCTGAGTGTTAAGAATTTTCGCTCTTAAAGTTCATTCTTGGATCCATGTGGAGTTCATTTTTTATAGGGTAGAAGGGAATGCTCTGACTTCACTCCTTCGTATGTGGATATCCGGTTTCTCAACACCGTTTGTTGGAGACACAGTTTTTGCCTCATTGAATGACCTTGGTCTCCGTGTTCGAAAACAACTGTACATGTATGTATTCCTTGATTCTCAGCAGTATCCCATTGATCCATATGTGTTGGTCTTCTCTGCTCATACCTTTCGGCAAATATTATAATCTCGTACAGAGTTTTTCAAATTCTTAGGATTATTTGCATAGAAGATCATGTCCTATATAAATAACCTTTTTCTTCTTCTTTTCCATTTGTGAGCTTTTAGTAACTAATCTTGTATAATTTCTCTGACCAAACTTCCATGACAATATGGAAATGAAGTGGTGGACATGGGCATCCTTGACTTTTTGGGGATTTTAAGGAGAAAACTCTCAGTCTTTCACCACAGAGCATGATATACATATGAGTTATTTTTCATAAATATCCTTTATCATAATTTTTAAAGAGTTATTTATTTATTTATTTATTTATTTATTTATTTATTTGAGAGCATGCAAGCCCAAGAGTGGGGAGGGGTAGAGGGAGAGAATCTCCAAGCAGACTCCCGACAGAGTGCAGAACCCTCCCTGGAGCTCAATCTGAAGACTCTTGAGATCATGACCTGAGCCCAAACCAAGAGTCGGACACTCAACCCACTGAGCCACA